AGATATCCCCCAGAAATACCTATGTCAAATTTTATCGAGATCGGATAAGATTTGGATTTAGTTCCTATATATATCTTTATCCGATATCAGGTTTAGTGGCTAATATCAGCCCAAAAGTCCCTCACATGCGTAATATGAACTCCCCACCAACAATGAGATTTGATACCGGGCATCGGGCATCGAAAATATCTCTGTCAAATTTTATCGAGATCGGTTTTATACATATAGCTTCGATATACATCCTCATCCGATTTTAATGTTCTACCTCACAACATATGTAATATCAGCCCAAATTGAATAGATTTTTAAATATTCAACTGAATTTGACCATTTGATGAATCTCGGTCCGATATTTTTATTACTTCAATTATGGTGATGTTTAGTCATCAAATTAAAAATTTTAATTCAATTCATCGATTGTTGAATATTTTCTCAGTGTCTTTCGACACCGAGATGTCCAACAACGACATCGTTGTTTGTTATGGTTTTACGCATTCTTCGGAATTCAATTAAATGATTTTGCGGGGGATTCCACAGAGAGGCTTGTTTGTGGTTTCCATTTTCGCTTAGCATCCATCGTGTGTGTGTGTGTGTGTCAGTGGTAACCTGCATCTGTATTCACGTGTTTGCTTAAACACCGCGAAAACCGGAAAGAAAATACCGGCAGATAAAATGTACACAACTTGGTTGCGATTTATTGGGAAAAGATTCCATTTTTAGCAACGGCCAAATTCTATAGCAAATATGGAGCGGTATTAATAGCAGCAACTTGAATTCGAAGGTGGTGCAATGGAGTTACAACAGCAGTTTTTGTAAAAGGAGGCCTATGGCAAATAAGCCACTTTATTTTTAGAAGCTTTTGAAAGGGGTGTCAAGGAACTTTGATAATTATATTAAAGATATTATTAATGCATTTCAGATGAATACGGAAATTGGATTTAAATGTATTTGAACCTCTGGGCTTGGCTTGAAAATTGTGTCAGTTGAACGTCAATTGTTTTGTTATGTCATAATTATAAATTCCATCCAAATAACGGTTTATTTTTTAAATCCAATAATTTAATATTCGTATAATTCAAGTTCCCTTCTATTTTTTTGCTTTCCACCAACCATCGGCAATCAATTCCTCTGTCAATTTCAAATTCTCGTCATTATTTTCTACTTTGTCAAGAATTGATTAATTTTCGTCACCTTAGAATGTGCAGACGTCAATTAAAATCATTCTCCTGATAATAACAGCAATTATTTTAATTGTTACAGCACTTCATTCGATTAACGAATGCACTTGGTTTTCTTAAATGAAAAATTTTCAATCGCGAAATCAAAGCTGTTCATAATTTTATTGCACAACACAAATACTCGATGATTTATTTAATGAACTTAACACATAAAAAAAGCAGCTAAGTTCGGACAGGCTGAATTTTTAATGCCCTCCATTATTCGGTAGGAACTTGAAAAAATTAAAAAAAAAATCTTACATAAAAACCGTTGTATGGGGGCTATGCGAAATCGTGGACCGACATAAGTAATTTTTGTCATAGGTTGTAGTACCTATTCTGAATGTTAAGTACGAAAATTTAAACAATTCCGGTGGATAATATCGCTAAAATCATCAAATAAGGGAGGTACCGTTATATGGGGGTTATACGAAGACGAGGACCTGCATATGATTTTTTTGCCATAGGCTGTAGTAAGTATCCACAGCGAACTTTAAATACGAAATTTGAAATAATTCCGGTTTATAATATCTCTAAAATCATCGAAATACCGAGAATGGGGAGGTACAGTTATATGGGGGCTATACGAAAATTTGGGCCCGCATATGTGTTTTTATACCACACACCACAAGGTGGTCAGGGTATTATGTATTTGTGCATTTGTTTGTAACAGGAAATGGAAACGAGATAGACCCATATTTCCTTTTGATGATCTGCATAGAATCAAATTCTGAGTCGATTTATGCATGTCCGCCCGTCAGTCCATGTATTTTTGTCCAGATGAAATTTTGCACAAATCATTTGTTTGGCCCAAGGACGAATTGAAATTGGAGAAAATCGGTAAAAATTTAGACATAGCTCCCATATATATCTTCGACCGATTCGCCTTTTATTGTGCACCAACGTCTAATATTTGCTAAAATGAAATGAAATTTGGCACTTACGACCGAATTGAGTCTAGAAGCTAGTATGTCAAATTTGGTGAAGATCGGTTCAGATATAGCTATAGCTCCCATACATACTGTTCATCCGATTTGTTATATTTGATACCCACAGCCGTAATATGCACTCCGTAACAACGATATTCAGGGAAATATATGAAATAGGGTAAGTGTACCAGTAGTCGGCACTTTTAGGATTTTCGATTTTTCAAACTTTCAACATTCTGAGTGAAATCTTCAATTGCAGAAAAATAAAGTTGTTTAGATTCCAAATTTTGTTTAGTTTTCGAAATAATAAACAAAAATTTCATTTTTTTATTAAATTGGCAAAATTTGCAATTTTACTAATATAATAGTTTTTTGCCAGTAGTCGGCACGATTTTCCAATGCTCGGCATGTCTATTTGCCAGTAGTCGGCATATGGTATTTCAGTTAAAAAAATATTATTTTGTATATTTTTTTGTTTCAAATAGTATAAAACAATTATATATTACTAATTCAAAGTTTAATCCAGAATTTGAAATTAATTTGGTTTTTAAATAGTGTTTTAATTAATTATCATTCCAAATAGGGTAAGTGTACCAGTAGTCGGCACTTTTAGGATTTTCGCGTTTTTAATCGCTCACCATTCTGAGTGGAACATTTCAATTATTACAAAGTTAATTTTTTCAGATTCGAAATTTTGTATAGTTTTTGCAATAATAAATAAAGTTTTAATAACTTTTTATTAAATTTTATAAATTTGTAGTTTTATTAAAACAATGCTTTTTTGCCAGTAGTCGGCACCACTTGCTAATTGTCGGTATGGCATGTTCCAACAGTCGGCATACCAATTTTTTTGTAAGAATAATTAATAGTAATAATAAATTAATTCATTAAAATATAATATTTTTGTTTAGTTAAACTGATTCGACGTCTTTAATGTACTTTTCTTAAGAATATGAATTGTTGAGGACCTTCACAGACAAACATTTAATTTTTATTAGAATAATTCATCTTTTCTTAGTAAAATTGTGCACAAAGATAGCTGACAATATATTTGAAGTAAACAAAATACATTTAGTTATAATAGTTTCATTTATTTGGGCTTAAAAATAAAAAGTGCCGACTACTGGGACATGCCGAACTTAGGCACACTTACCCTATAGGTAGAAAATCAAGAATAGTATATTCGTCGTAGACCCCATAATGTATATATATTCATAATCAGCATAAAATTCTATGGCGATTTAACGATGTATGTCTGTCTGTTTGTTGAAATCACGATATAGGCCACATTATTTGACGTAGAGCGTCAAAATTTAGCAGAATAATTTGTTTTGTGTCTAGGATGGTTGGTATTGAAAATAACATATATCGGTCCACGTTTTGGTATAGCCCCCATATAGAATAGAATCCTCAAATTCGATATTGAGATCCCTTGTTGATATCTGGAATTGAGATATGGAGATTGTTTCGAAAATATGTACTATAATTATACTAGATAGTACTAAATTTGGTATTGTGTGAAGGGATAGAGATAAAATTCCGAAGGAATAGGACTTGGAATCCTCATATTTGTTGTAAATACCACTGTTGGTATCGGTGGTTAATATATGGAGGTGGCTTTGGAAATGTGTACAATAATGGTTTGAAAAGTACTAAGTGGTACCAAGCTGGGTATAGAGGTAAGGGATGGATGGAATTCCGAAATTTGATATTGAGGTATCTGTTGTTATATATGGAATTGAGATATGTAGTTGGTTTTGAAAATATGCACTATAACTGTACGAAATGTACTAAATATTTCAAAATTTGGTATTGGGTGAAGGTAGAGAGCTGAAATCCTGAAGTTCCGTAGTTAAGCTATCGAGGTGGTTTCGGAAATGTGTACTATAATTGTACTGAAAGTACTGAATCGTACTAAATTTAGTATGGGGTGAAGATAAAATTCTGAATGTATAGGGCTGGAATCCTCAAATTTGATAGAAATGCCACTGTTGGTGACTGTGGTTGTGATATGGAAGTGGCTTTGGACATTTATTCTATAATTGTTCGAAAAGTACTAAGTGGTACAAAATTGGGTATTGGGTGAAGGAATAGGGGTAGAATTCTGAAATTTCGTATTAAGGTCATTGTGGAGAGAAAGAAGTGGTTTTGGATATAATTTTCGTACAGTTAGACCACGCATGTCCAAACCACTTCGTTCTCTCCAACCAGACACCAATAATATTGCATTAACTTGTCTCCTCTGCGACTTCAGACGTCAGTGTCCAAAAAATGGCTCGTGAGCTGAACTTATCGCAATATTCCATTCGGCAAATATTGAAAAATGAGCTGCGGGTAAAGTCATTGAAATTCCGAAAAGTACAAGAACTTACACCACAACAGAAAGAAAATAGACTCAAAGGAGCTAAAGAGTTGCTTCGCTTGGCCGAAAGTTTTGAGCTGCTCAATTTGGTTTTCTCCGATGAGAAAACATTCATTGTCCAGCAGTGTGTAAACAAACAAAATTGTCGTGTTCAGTTCCCAAAGAGGTCAGCTGAAAATATGCACCTTCGGTTGGCCACCAGAACTCAAGCGCCAGCCATGGAGATGGTGTGGGCCGCCATAACTTCCGATGGTCGCTCTCGGCTCGTATTAATCGACCGTGGCATCAGAATAAATGCCGAATATTGTCGCGAAAATATTCTGGAGTCTTGGGCACGCAAACATTCTGTACACATTTGAATATTATATGACCATTTGAATATTATATGTATTATACGACAAAGATTCATTTTCCAAGGGATATGATAAGGTCAGCATAATTTCAATATCAATTTTTTTGATACACAAAATTCAAAACAATTTGAATCAAATATCTTCACATCCCAACATACCAAAAATACAATACAGCTTGAGAATAATATTATGAAAATAGTTTATCATAAGAATTTTTCAACAATGCTTGAGAAACACTTTTTTGCACAAACTTTTCTCAAATCTGTCCTTTGTTGACAAATTTGTTTTGATTTTTTTTGTGAAAATTGTCAACAAAAAATTATTTTCTTTGGTTAAAATCAAAATCACGCGAATTTAGGACCCATTTCCGGACGAAACTCTAAGGTAATGATGAATAATAAATCTGGGAATCTGTAGTATAAATTATTTCAATCTCATTTCAGAATGGAGGCGTCAAAAAGTTGCAGGAATTCAACAGAAGTGAAGAATAAGTGGAGGAGATACAGAAGCTCAAATAAGGGGAAAGAAAGCATCTAGGTATCAAGGCAACAGGATGCAGTGACAGCTGGGATGGCAATCAATGAATGAAATGTGTAAAATAATTAAAAAATGAATAAATAAATATTTTTTACCATTGAAAAAATAAGCTTTATAAAATATTACTTTCGTAAGCTTATTCTGCAATTACAAGAATAAGCTTATGAATAAGGGTTCCTTTTCGATTATTCTATAATTGTTAAACAAACATTTCTCAATACATTCTCAAGATTTTCTCAAGCTTTAGGCTTATGTTTGTAAGCTTATTAAAATATTATTCTCAAGTCAATTTGGTATGTTGGGATTGTTATAGAATGTGCGCATGTGTGTAACATGGCTATGAATATAATTCAAATTGAAAATACATTCATTTTTATATCATAACTGGTAATTGTTGTTAATAATGGGAATAGTTTTTGCACCTTCTAATGGAGGGTAGAACAAATGACGATAATCATCACCTACAAGTTGGGGCTAAACTACAATTAACTACTAAATTAATTTAATTATAAGTCAGAGCTACTCTCCAATTACACACTCTGGCGATGTGTCCAGGTCTCCATGTAAATGCTTCGATATTGATTGGAAACAAAACGTTTGTCTTTTCTAAATCATGTTCGAATTATAAATTCCATTTTTTTAAGGAAGGTGAATGCTTTGGTTTAACCTCATTTAGAGGAAACTTATTCTGAATGGAATTTCATGTGAAGTAAGGCAACGATCTAGCAATTGATCCTCCACCCATACCTCTCACCTGCTTCTGCCTTATTTTCCATGGAAGTGAATTGATTTGACTTGGAAGCGTCGTGTTAATTAATTCCAAATATTTGAAAATTCAAATTTTCATTCAAATAATAATTTGAGAGGGCACACTTCGAATGCCGCCCTCCTGCCCTCCTGAGACGTTTGTGGGACAATTATTACACATTAAATGTATTGTTGTGTGGCCCAGCTGAACTTGAAACAAGAATTATTGAAAACGTTCGTTGTTTGTTCTGCAGCGTTCACAGGTTAATATTTTTCCATTTGCCTTTCACTTTCGTTTAATGAATGAATAGACAGACAACGACGATGACGGCGGCGTCGGTGGGATCCCTTTAATTACAAGAACCCCTCTAGTGTATTATTACTAATTTAATCAGTTGTATGCATGTGATTTACTTAGATGGGGAGTGCACTGAAAGAAATACAACCTCTTAAAGATTCTTTTTTATAAAAAACTTGGATTTTTAAGCTCTTCGAATATGAATTTGTCTAAACAGGAATATTTCCTAATGCATCGTTATATAGTAAATAGTACTTTAAATTTTTGAATCAATGCCCATAATTATCTAATAAAAGGGTGTAGTAGTCCATTTTGGTATGGATCCAATATAAGAATCTCCATTTTGAAATATTTGAGTCCTTTTTATACCATCAGCCACAGGACTAAAGGGGGTATATATGTAATTTCAGGGGGTATATATCATTCATACCTCAACGAAATAACGATTATAGACCCTAGGTTTCTTTGGACCAAATCCGTTTCAGAATTTTTGGAGTCGATCTGGCGATATGCGTCCGTCTGTCTGACTGGCTTGATTTGATCCATACTTGGTACATCTTAAAATAATTGACAAACCTTATTGTAACTCCCACTCACCACCTCATTTACCTCATTTTGTACCTCATTTTCATTGAAAAAAATTACCTCATAAAACAGGAAAGTATCATCCAATTTTGTTCAAACTTTACAAATTTTAATATTTTTATCAGTGCTAGGCCGGGTGCGAAAATGGAAAATATCGGTCCACTCCATCAAGTAACTCCCCCACAAAGGGTCAAAATTTTGAATAATCAAAACTCTTACAAAATGTGAAACAAGTGTTGGATTGTCTTCAAATTGCGTATATCGCAATATTTTGACCAACACAAGATGCGGCGTAAGGACGATAGACATCGGAACACTTCTTCTGGTACTTCCCTCAAAACGGGTCAAATTTTTGAATAATTATATCTTTCATAAAATGCGAAATAAGCACCTGATTCATTTAAAACTTCACACATTTCAATTTTTCTACTGAAGCAAGATCTGATGTGAAGATGATAGATATCGCGCCACTCCTTCTGGTACCTCCCCCACAATGCGTCAACATTTTGAATAATTATATTTCAAATAAACTTTTAAATTAGCAGCCGGCTCCCGTCATAAATCGTACATCCTATTATTTCTACTAACACAAGATCTGCTATGAAGATGGAATATATCGGAAGACTACTTCTGGTACCTTCCCCACAAGGAAAGGTCGAAACTTTGAATATCCGTGAATCTCTTAGAACGCGAAATTCTATTCTATTTCTATTCTATTTTGACTTGGTACATCTCAATATTTCCATCAACACAAGATCTGTTATAAAGATGGTAGAAATCGGAAATCCTTCTGGTACCTCCCCCCATAAAGGGTCAAAGTTTTAAATAATCAAAACGATCATAAAATCCGAAATAAACATCCAGTTCCCTTCATATTTCATACATCCTATTATTTTTACTAACATAAGATCTGCTGTGATTAGGGTATATATCGGTCCACTCTTTCTGGTACCTCCCTCAAAAAGGGACAAAAATTCGAATATCCATGAAGCTCATAAAACGCGGAGAGATGGGACCATCCCTTCTGCTACCTTCCCCACAAAAGGTCCAAAGTTGTGAATAACCAAAACGATTATAATATCCGAAATAAGCATCCGGTTCTCTTAACATTTCACACATCCCATTATTTCTACTAACGCAAGATCTGGTGTGAAGATGGTATATATCGGTCCACTCCCCCCACAAAGCGCCAAAATTTTTAATATCTATGAAGCTCATAAGACGTAAAATAACCATCCGCTGCCATTCAGACTTGCAACATCTCAATATTCCCATAAACACAAGATCTGTTATAAAGATGGTAGATGTCGGACAATACCTTCCCCACACAAATGTTCAAAGTTTTAAATAGCCAAAACAAATTTAAAATTCGAAGTAAGCATCTGGTTCTATTCAAATTTCTGGCATGCCATTATTTCTACTAACACAGGATATGCTGTCCACTTCTTCTAGTAATTCCTCCACAACGGGTCAAAATTTTGAATAGCCCTGAAGCTCGTAAAACGCATGCGATTCTTTTCAAATGTTACACATCGCAATACTTCTACTTAAGCAAGATCTGGGGTGAAGATAGGATATGTATCCGTATACTCCTTTTGATACCTCCCATACAAAGGGTCAAATTATGAATAATTATAACTTTTATAAATTTCGCACATCCTTCACCAAAACAATTCGAAATTTTAAATATATTCTAACTCTCATAGCAGGCGAACTTTTGGAAAATTTTTCAAATATCTCATATAAAGTGAAGGATAACTCTGATTCGATTTAGTACTTTTATCAGACTTATGTCAGATACGGAATGGAAAATATTGGACCACTTCTTTCGAACCTCTCCTATGGTTAACAGTTTGAATAATCATAATATAAGTCAAAATATATTTAAATAACCGAACATTGGCTGAGGGTATGCAGCTGATGGCCGACTGATTCCATTTAACTTGTTATAAAAACTATTACCGTATATATAATATATCGTAATATAAAAGATACAATTTTAAAATATTACATAACCGTTTCTTATCTTCAAATTTATGGTATTCAAAATTAGATATGTCGGTCGGCATTTGATACTGCAGTATGAAGGTTTGTACAACATTTGGAGATAATTTACTGTTTGGTGTAACCAGTAAAAATTTTATTTTATTGAAGCTCACACATATGCGGGCTAATCTTGTTTCTGAGCAAGATGAAGGAATCTATAACAACGCTACATACAAAAAAATTTCTTGAGATAAAAAATAAATTACCTTCAGAATTAAATGCATCCTACTAACTTTCTTAGTGAAAATACGGCCCTTTCGATTTTAAATTGCAAATGACACTAGGCAAAGCTCCAATTGTTTATCTACAGAAAAACTTTGACAAGTGTATGAAATGAATGAATTATCGGGAGATTCATTAGAACGTTCGCTCGCAATTCGAGAAATTCAACAATCGACTGATTTAATTAGAAAAATGCACTTGTTTTATTGTTGTTGCCCCATCTGCATTATTCAGCAGTTGTTAGTGTGTGTGCGTGTGAGAGTCTGTGTGCTGTTGTAGTAATTATGTAAAACAAATCGATGGGGAGAAGGTAATTTCCCAATAGGATTCATATTCAGATTTCGAATGGCAAACAATGCCGATAAACAATCGCCCTTGCCACATCACCGATGCTGGAATTTCTCAGATTGTGCGAATGCAAAACTTAAAAATTCATATTTTATTAATTGTTTGCAATCAGTCGAAGATGTGGTTAATTATGTGAGTAGGAAGGTGGCTTGGGTGAAAATGGAAGTTTTTTTATTTTTTTGTAAAAGGGTTTCCACACTTAAATCTACATTGCAAAATAAAATTATTTTTTGTTTTTTTAATTATCTCCTATGGATCAAAACAAAAGTTGCATCATACGAAGTTGCTACAACGGGCGTAGGATACGCTGATGCATACACCCCTTGAAGGTCAGTGCGGATGATACATTATAAATTAATTCGAATTTGAATTATTATCAAAATAATTGAAAATAAATTGAGGAAATAATATTGGATGAAATAAAAGAGAGTTAATTGAGAAATTAATGGGAAATAACTCAGCATATTTGCTGAATCATCGTAATTTGGTAGTTTTTGATTTCCGTAACGTACAAATTTTAAAAAAATCCAAATTTAAAAAATAAAACAACAAGTAAAATAGTGTCAGCCGGTTTTGCCGACAGATGTATGCCCTCAGCCTTGAGTTATGATTATTCAATCTGTTAACCCTTTATGGAAGAGGTTCCGAAGCAGTTGGACAATATTACCCAATTCGTATCTAACCCAAAATGTTACAACGAGCCAGATTTGGACTACATCGACTACTTCCTATACTTTACAGGGTGAGATGAAAAAACTGCAACCAACTTCAGATGGCTGTCATTTCTAAGCCAGTCGTCCGACAGCTGTTAAAATTATTCCAGTGACAGCTCATTATATTGTTTACAAGCGTACAAAAGCAAT